GCAAGGCAGCGGGGTCCCGGGAACACGCTAATGCTACAGCTCTACCAGACCAGCCAGATAGAACATCACCATGGTAACGTCCCATGGTGATGTTTCCGGCTTCAGAAGAGACTACTTTTCTTTTAGTGTTTTACACACACACACACACACACACACACACACACACACACACACACACACACACACACACACACACACACACACACACACATCCATCCATTCCAATGGTCAGGTTTATTGATCAGTAAATTGCTGGCTCAAGGCATCATTATTCGATTGATCAGGAAGTATAATGAGTTCATGAAAACAAAGTGATGAGAACAGCATGATCCAGAGGAATAGTAAGAGAGGAATCAGCAGCAGGAAAATAAAAATTTTATTTTAATCCAAGAGAAATCTAAAGCTAAACATTTAAACTCAGCTGAAGTGCAGCTTTTATTTACTTCCTAAGAGAGGACAGTCTACCTCGCTATGGTTCCTACCTGCCTCCCTCTGTAACCAAGGACAGATGAGAAGCATCACTACGGTTACCATATCCATGACAACCTCTGCTGCTGCTATTATTGGGCAAGTCGTCAAGGAGACAAAGCGGCACATTATGGGATGCAGACTGAAATAGAAATCTTATGCAGGAAGCAATTCAACACACCCCTGGTATTACATAAGGGAGGCTTAAGTTAAAGCTAACAAGGGCTGCCATAGTTATTAGAAAACTCAATTATAGATGCTGCAGTCTGAGAAACATCACCAAGGGACTCAACTGTAGCCAGGATGCCACTGATTTCATCCAGTAATCGTTACATTTGTGTGAAAATTGAAAATGCATGCATAATTTTAAAATAAAATTAAAATAAAATTAAGAGTCGTCTCTTTTCTTTCTCTATTTCATGGCAACAGGTTGCACAATCAGTTTTGTCATTGTCAATTTCTAATTATAGCATAAAAGGCCTGAGTTTTTTCAAACCTAATCCAATCAGGAGAAACAAACGTTTAACAACTGTCTTTAAAAGGCACAAAAACAGTTTAACCCACCAGCACCCGGACAGACGCATAGTTCAAACATATATTTAAGCCCGTGGTGCATCTGCACAAAGCTTCCTGTTTGTGAGAAGGTTATAAAGCTAATTGACCACAGCTGCGAGGGTGGTGAAAAGCTTGTGTGTTAGGTGTGGGTGTGTGCACGTGTGTTGTATATCTGTTCATTAGTTTGAGTGGTTGGAGGAGCCACCAGGCATCCCAGAATATAAAAGATGAAAACAAGATTGCCTAGGAGGGTCTTATCTGATCATTTCTATTCGGACAAAAACTGAAGCCGCTAAAGGTAGAATCTGTTCGAGCACATCAAACAAAAATGAGGTATTTTAGTTTGTCACCTAATGATGAAAGCAAACTGACATTTGGTCTATTTAAAAAGTAATAGCTGTAATTTATGCAGTCATGCTTTCTGCCGACACAGAGACAGACAGACAGACAGGCAGAGAGAAACAGAGACAGAGAGAGACAGAGTGGGAGCTACGACACAGATTGACAGGACATAAACAGCTGCTCTGCCTCAGTTGTATTTACTCATTTACTGACTCACATACCTGATCTCACACTTGCATCGTTATGTGAGAAAATGGGGGGGGGGGCTGAGCTCAATACCAGATCTGCATTATGAAGCATCAGCTCTCAAGAATAAGCAACAGTGCCAAAATAATCCAAAAAGAAGAAGAGAAAGAAAGAGACAGAGTGGCAGATGTTGCATTCTGCTGGAAGGATTAGTGTCACGCATCTGCACGCTGACACACACACCCACACACACATTTAAACAGATGAATCATACAAAAGTTTGAGATGATGTACTTCCCTACACCTTGAGCTTACATTTGTGTAGAAATTAGGAATAAAATGGATCAATAGGAATTTAAAGAATGAGTAACACCTAAATCAACTTTTTTTTTTGCTGATAACCTTTACAGATGAGTGTGTAATAGTGGGCATGTGTAGTCATTATTTTGGCAGTTCAGTTTCATCCCAAAGCTGTAATTATTTTTCCATCTGCAGGTTAAAACTCTGCTCCACGTTGATTTAGAATCAGCCACAGCTGATGGCTAAAGAGGTTCGGTGTGCTGTTGTCTGTGTCGTACATGTATAAATATTCTATGCACCTCCAGCTGGCTCAGCCGCTCACCTGCCGATATGAAATGTTACGACTCAAAGCCGCTTGCCTTCTTAAAAAATGTCCTCCTTCCCTTTTCTTCTAGTGACCGCAGTGGACAGGAAATCCTCCAGCCTGCTGCAGTTCCTGTGTCTGCTCGTTCTAGAGAGCGGTGAGTCTGCTGTGTGTGTGCATGCATGAGTGTTCACACACTTGTTAACAACTCATTTTTCCAATTGAGATACTCCAAAAGCATGTGGGGGGTTTGAGTGGGGGTGCTTTCAGTCACTGCCTCAGTGCCTCTCTCTCGGTCTGCCAGGCGACGCTTCCTTTAGGCGCATTTTTCAAACAGGAAATGTGGGTGAATTAAGACTCCACCCAGAGTGTGATTTGCGTTTTTAAATTTAACATCACCAAAAGGTTTTGGTTGACTCATTAAATGTTGTACTTGCCATGTTTGTTCCAAGTGTAATAGAACAGAAATGTAAACTTAGACTTGGGACGAAAAAAAGGAAAATGTGCTGATAAACAATATTAAAACAGAAAGAGAATATTTTTTTTACATCAGATCAAAACAATCTGCAGGAAACCTTATTAAAAAGGGTCAAAATGAAGTTTTATGCATCACAATTGTTTTAAAATGTAAACGAGACCAAAAAATAATGTCTAATCAAAGTTACTTTGACCGCCTTCAGTTGGTCAAGAACTCTGCAGCAAGGCAAACAGAAGAGCAGACCTCACCCCTATTTTATCTGCACTGTTACCCGTTAACTTAAGAATTCGTTTTAGAATCCTGGTTATAACTTTCAATGCTCTACATGGTCAAGCTCCTCCCTATATTACTGAACTGTTAAAGCCTTATGCTCCAACCCGAGCCCTCAGGTCCACACAACAGAACCTTCTAGAAGTTCCAAAGACCAGATATAAAAGTCGAGGTAATCGCTCCTTCCAGACTGTTGCACCCTGACTTTGTGATGATCTTCCTTTATCCTTACGCAGCATTGACAGTAGGGATGGGTACCGAATCCGGTACTTTTTAAGGCACCGACCAAATTCTATAGTACCAACTGAGTACCAATTCACGCCATATTAAACTGTGCCTTTTTTCCGGTATCCGAGCCGCGTGGCGCAAGAGCGTAATGTCGTCAGTAACTGTGGGCGAGCTGTAAACAAAGCAGCACAGCAGAGAGGAAGCGTTCTGAAGTTTGCATCCACTTTACTAAATGGGATGGGTAACTGGGTGATGATGAAACCAGCAACAAGGATCTAAGTGAGGCATCATCATCTTAGTCTGCTCTGGTACGTAAATAAAATGTTTAAGATGGCGTTAGCTTGATATGTTAGCTTCCATTCAGTTACTGTACTGATGTGTTCGCTTTATCCTCGGAATGCCGAAATGCCGACTAGAAGAAAGCGAACATGCTCCAAAGTTTGGCTTCACATCACTAAATGCGATGGGCTACTGGGTGACGATGAAACCAGCGAAAACGATCTGAGTATTAGGCATGTTAATCTGCTATAAAAAAGCTAAAAAACTATTTAAATAATTATTAGACCCTCAGAAGTATCGTAAATTGGTACTGTCGAGTACCGAAATCGATTCGTAGGTATCAGGATATGGTACCATATCGATTAAAATGTCAAGGGTACTCAAATTGACAGTCTGGACACTTAAGAGTCTTTATGTGTTTTTTATTTATTTAAAGCTGTTTTAAGCTAAAGCTTCTATTTTCTTGTTTTTAACTCAAATTTGTAATATTGCATCTGTTTATGAAAATTTATAATTTTATGACTTTATTATTTCTGATGTTAATCTATTTCTGTTTTGAGATCATTATGATTTTTATGTTTTAGTTTGTTCTGATCTATTTGAAGCACTTTGTGATTCTGTGTCTGTGATAAGTGCTATATAAATAAAAATGTACTTACTACTCACTAAGTGGTAGCTATTCACAGGCATGATGGGACATGAGCTCAGTTGCTGCAGCCCACATATATATATTTTACATTAAAAGGCTCCATCAAGCAGCAAAACCCAGCAGCTGCCTATTAGGTCTGAAACAACAACTTCTAGTGAAACTGCTCGTGGACAACAAGTGTCACCACATGAGTGAAGTGAGTTGCTGTATTAGCATGGGTGTCAAAAAGTGTGATGTAGGAATTATAGTCTGTCACGGATAAATGTGCTGTAGAGTTAAAGCTGCTGGTTTCAGTGGACACTACACGCAACAGCTGGGATCAAATCAAAACACACACACACACACATGAAACCTGGGATGGATTTTCTGTTCCATCCATCTATCCAAAGAGGCAGAGCATAAAGTAGGTGAATCATGGAACATAAATAATTTAAAAAATACATTTTTGTTTGCTTTTTTTTGTCAGAAATAAACGGTTCATTTATTACTTTACCCAATTAGACTGATGACACTTTCTCTGCACCTTGAATCACCAAATTAAGGCAAGTCAAATCACCAAGAGCGACTAAATTCTTTCATCCAGGAAAATAAAGACTCCTTCAGAAAAACCAAAACTCTCTAATCATCCCAACTCTTTATTAAGAGCAATCAGAACTAAATCATACTTAAGTGATGTGACATTTTAGTAGCGTTTCCTAATATTATCCTAATTTATTATGCTGTTATTTGACATTTTGTCTTTTCACACATTTTCCTACAGCCTTCATTTGTGTATGTCGCCCTCGTAAACTTGTCTCAAATTGGGAGCGGCAGTGAACCACACAGAGCTGCAAAGCACCAGTTGAACAGACAACTACGTAATCCAGACTATAGCAGAAAAACCAAAGAATGAGCTGCTTAAACCAGCGACCGCTCAACGGAAATAATCATGCAGTACTCACCAGGTTGGAGTTTGTGGCATTGGAATCATCCTCGGGGAAGGGGATGTAGACAGCTAAGGCCACACAGTTAGCAAAGATGGTCATCAGGATGATGATCTCAAATGGTCTGAGAGGGAAATTAAGGAATATGCAAATGACATGCACAGCATTAATCTGGTCCCTTTATTATACAAATTAGTATTTAATATTAAAACTTCTCTGTTTATGCAAATGAAGTTAAGTTCAAATCCTGCTCCCTTTTTATTTTTAAACCACAAAGCATCCTTACATAAGTGGAGGTATGCATGCACACAGCAAAGTGCACAAGCAGTGTACATAAAGAAAGAGATCAAAGCTCTTGAACCTGCCTTTTGGTTGACAATAAAACACGTTGAGAGAGTTTGGGAGCTCTTTGTGTGGTCAGGAGGAGGTTTGGCGATACAGCGCATGTCCTAATATGGCTGCGTTGAGGAGCGGGCCGTTCGCGTGGAAGACAGGGACGCAGACGGAGAAAGAGAGCTGGAGTGAGAGCAGAGATGTGGAGCGGGTTTTTTTTTGGAGCAATCCTTGAGAGGAGACTGACCTCATTATTTGGGGCCTTTGAGAGAAAAGGAGAGCGGAGAGTGAGGAGACAGGGGCAGGGAAAGAGAGAATGTGAAGGAGAGATGGAGGAGGTCTGGTTTTCATCAACAATTACAAACTGCCACTGCTGTCACCTCCCTCCTCCTCTTTTTGCCCTCTCTCTACTTTCTGCATCTATTCTTTCCTTCCTTTCCCCCACATAGTCTCCAGACCTCATAGCATAACGTAAACAGAATGTATGAACACGTTGTTCTGTAGGACAGAGGGGAAGAACATTATAAAAGTGTCACTGCATTGCTAAACTTTTTGTTCTTCTTTTATATTCATTGCACACAAAAATATAGAGTTAAAGGTGTAGTTCACTCATTTAACCAGCACATTTGCTGTGGTCTCTATAGTAGGAATGAATGCCTTGTAAGTCATACTCTGGGTACAAAAACCCAGGTGCTCCTGTTTCAGGATAGAAGATTGCCAGATCAGAGGAGAGCTTCAGGCGGCAGGATGTTGAGTGTTACCTTCTGATATTTGGACATCTCACTTATTCACACTACCACTTGTAAGATAAATGTTTGAAGGGACGGCGGACGTCAGATGACTCTCTGAGGAAGACTGAAGCCTTCAGTCGAAACTGTCAGCAGGTATGAGATAAACATCTTTCAACCTGCAAACGTTTGTTTTATAAAAAAACAAATAACAGTAATTTTAATTTACAACAAAGACTAAATGATTTTTTTTATCTGAGACTCTATCACTGACTCTGTTTACTTTTCAAATACCACAAGCCTGGAGGAGTTTTGCCATGTGGTGGAGTTGCTTATGCTAACTGTTAGCCTTCCCCGCCGTGAGGTAAGTTGGGTGAGCCCAGAATTGTTAAGTGACAGTTTGACGTAGATCTTCAGGTTTTTCTAACCCTAGAGTTTCACCGACTATTTCCTATAAGTAGCTAATCCAGGAGATGTTCAGCCTGCATGGAAACGCTAAGTAATCGATTATAAATCAGAAATATTCATTTAAAGATGGGTTTTCAGTGATCCACACCTTCATTTATCTAAATGTCCAAAAAATGGTGGGGGGGTGGGGGTGGGGCAAAGAATACCCAGCAGTTTTATTGGGTAATCTTGATGGTTTAGGCTCATATTGGTTCTAAAACACACACACACACACACACACACACACACACACACAAAGCTTTTGTTAGTTTAGCGTTCGAATAAATGAAAAGTATGACTGACTAAACTTGTTTTTGTACGTCAACTCCTATCCTTGGAATATTTTAATTCCCAGTTCTATAATCTCTACAGGACATTTTGTGACTTCTGAAATCCCCAAACATGGTTTTCTAAACAACGTCTGAGCTAAAAAAGCCCCCAAAACTTCAACAATTCTGTACATCATGCCAATAATTGCTAGAGAAAACTCGGTCTGTGCGTCCTTTCCAGAAAGAGGAAGCTCTAACTACTGTTTTAGAAGGAGCTCTGCAGACGCAGACAGAGAAAAGGCTAAAACATTGTTTATGTTTGGATTAAGGGCTGACCTTTGAACAGTGTCGACCACGAGCCCATTCGGCTCATCAGCTTGGGACCAAAATGCATCAAAATAATCACTCATCCTCATACCAAGGGCTCATTAAAGTCACTTTAGACATGCGGGGACCTACTGAAACATGAGCTTGTGACTCATTCTGGGTTCCTGACCCATAATTTCCAACACCCTTGAGGTCTGCTTCCATCAACATGATAATAAATCCACTCTCTGCTGTGCTGTTGAGAGCAAAAGCATCACTTGCAGCTCTGGGTGAGGAATCACATCAAGCAACAAGTCTGTTAATAATTTAAAGTCATTGTCACAACAACAGCAATATCCATCTTTAACAACACAGAGGGGAAGAAAAAATATCAGGCGGAATCAATTAGTCTTTTACTTTAGGCTAACTGGCTGCTTGATGCTGCAAACATAACAAACGTGAAATTCCTCCTCAGGTGGCTCAGAAGGATTTACAGCTTATTCAGCACCGTGTTTGCTATATCTGATATGGCTCCAAGTTCTCCACAAACTGTTTATTAAGTATTTTAAGCAGCTGACGCTCTATACTGAGGATGTGCTGTCACACCGGGGTTTCATCCGGAAGCTGCTTCTCAGATCCAGCACATAAACACCACATGCTGCTCACTATTACATGGATGATCTCTTATCTCGACAGAGCCCAATAAGAGAGCTTGGATGTGCTGATACAATCTGGGAGCGCTCAGTACTCCGATGGGATGTGCATGGAATATTTATCAATGTTCCTGATTTACTTGAAAATGTGCATAAATAGCATGATTGCTAAAGTGTTTGATGACAAAAAGGAGAGTAAACCTGTGAACTCAGTGGCACTTTCAGCAAACTACCACTTAAAGGCACAAACGAGTCTCTCACTGACCTTGCAGCATCCACTTCACACAAAAACACTGTGATTACACCGAGTGTCTTAAACCTCATCGAAGCCATGATGAATGTTTTTATCCTTCAACAGTGTGGACATGCATTCTATGACCTGAGTGTGTGTCATTGTCTGAGCTCAGACGGGCCTCGTCGACCTGTTGAGAATGGTAGCTGTCGTCATGGCAACAAAGGAAGATTTTTGGATCTGCTATCCTCAGATGAAAAGGCGCTCGCCGAACACAGAGACGGCACACATGCTCACACACACCAAAGTAAAGCGTCAAAAAATACACAGAGCAGGACAAACAAGAATTAGGATTAAGATACATCACTTTTCCAGATTTGTGGTCATCCCTCGTGTCCCTTTCATATTAATGATCTGAAAGCTCATCAGTCATTGGATGAAATCGCTCAAGTGACCCTGAGGGGTTTGTGCCTGCTTCCTCCAATTAAATCTTTATTTATTTTAAGCTTCAGCCCAGCTGGACTGTATGTTTAAGGTGGGCTGCTGCTGATTTGATTATCGATAATGGGAACTCAAGGTGACCAGCAAAAAAGTTATTCATATTCATCGTTTTGCAGCGAGAGGAGATTAGCATACCTAAAAATACAGCCCTGATCCCCATGGGAAGAGATTTTATTTTTGGAATAAAGAATCTCTGATGTGTAAAAATATAAACAAAATCTGTCAAAACATCAAAACAGATGCGGGACTAAACTGAAGCCGACAATGTTTTTGCAGCACTTTGATAAATATTCTGATTTGTGAGCATGTCACAAATAATTATAGCATCATCTGAAACGGAATATTCAATATAAATTCCTTGTCACTGATAATTTTAGTCCTGCTGTGAGGCAACAGCGGCAGGAACAAAGAGTAGAGTCGAGAGATAATTGTTAAAATCAGACTCAAAGCACAATTCCATCAAAAACTCCCATTAAAGTTATTTCTGAGCTTTAATACTACGTTTCCAATGAGGTTATTGGAGAATAATGATTTAATTTATGAGCATTATAAGAGAAGACATAATTTACTTTTCCATTTATATTTTACTGATTTATCACCAAAAGTCATTTCAATCTCGTTTTTCCTTTATTACCACGATTCCTCTGTTCCCTCCATTTGGTCCTTATCCTTCCCTCCCACCTTTGTTTGCCCTCCACCTGCCCTGTAACTGTCTTGTTTTCCCTTCCCCTCCTCCTCTCAATCCCTCACTCCTTTCTCCTCTGTCTCGATACTCCATTATCAGTCCCGTTGTCGTCCGTGTCCTGCCCACATTCCTGCCTTTCTCATTTCCCTTACGCCTCCACTTCCTCTCCTTTCATCCCTAAAGGATGAAGTGCTACTCCACTCCTGCAGAGGGGAAGCTCCTGGTCACTTGAGTGAAAAATTGATTACTTTGATTGTGACACTGATCATCTCTGCCTTGCTGTGGTTCAGTGTTAAGGTAGAACAAAGCATTTAAACATAAACTAAAGAAGTAAAGAAGGTTTTAAAAAAGGAGGTTAGGGGAAAGGACCACTGATGTGAAGGGAGGAGGAGGTGTGAGATCCAGGTGGGATGAATAAAGGAGGAGTCCTGTTGCATCTTTACATAACAGATGTAAAAGAAGAAGAAGAAAATACAATTTCTATAGCGCATCTCAAGATAAAAATCACGAGGCGCTTCACAAAAACAAAAATTGTAAAAATATGAAAAAGAATTTAGAAAATGGTTGAAATATATTTAAAATGAGCAAAAAATAGACAATTGTGATTTTAAAAATGTTAAGAAAGAGAGAGAGAGTGAATAGGAAAGAGGGAAATCAGTGGATCCTGAGGACGGTGGAATAGGTGGGAGAGCAGAATAAAGAGAGAGTGGTGAAGAAGGTCATACAAAAGCCAGCTTGAACAAGTGAGTCTTCAGCTGCTTTTTAAAGAAGACCACTGAGATGAAGGTGTGGAGAACTGTCTCAAGTTCAGAGCGGGACAGAATGGGACTCAGCTTAGCAATGTTCCTGAGATGGAAGAAGGAAGAGTGAACAAGAGAACTGACATGAGAATCCAGGGTGAGAGCTGGGTCAAATGTCATGCCAAGATTCCTGACGGAGGGTTTGGTGTGGGAAGCAAGCTGACCAAGAGAGTCTCTGACTTTGGGAACCAGCTTGTCTGGGGCACAGATGAGGATCTCAGTCTTATCTTCATTCAGCTGTAGAAAGCTCCCAGCCATCCAGGTTTTGATAGAGTCTAAGCAGGTGTGTAACAGCTGCAGCTTAGACATCTCATGGGGCTTAAAGGAGATGTACAGTTGGATGTCATCTGCATAAAGATGGTAGGAGATTCCTTTGAAGGAGCTCAGGATGTGCTGAAGAGGGAGCAGATAGAGGAGGAAGAGCTGAGGCCCCAGCACAGAACCTTGTGGGACACCGTGGGTAAGAGAGGTGGTGGAGGACCTAAACTTGGAGACGGCCACAGAAAAGGAGCGCTTAGAGAGATAAGAGGAGAACCACTCCAGAGCAGATCCTGATAGGCCTACCCAGTCTCTCAGCCTCTCCAGTAGCAGGTGATGGTCAACAGTGTCAAAGGCTGCAGTCAGGTCCAACAGGACCAGAACAGAACAGTTCCCTGCATCACTGTGAGTCAGAAGGTCATTAGAGACCCTAAGAAGAGCTGTTTCAGTAGAATGAGCTCTACGAAAACCTGACTGGAAGCTATCATAGATGTTATGTTCATCAAGAGCAGCTGTGAGTTGTTTAGCCACAACCTTTTCCAAGATCTTGGAGATGAACGGAAGTTTAGAGATGGGTCTGAAGCTGCTATGGAGAGAGGCGTCAAGACTCGGTTTTTTAAGAAGCGGGTGGATTACAGCGTCCTTAAAGTAAGCAGGGACCTGACCAGAAACCAGAGAAGCATTAATTATAGAGAGCACGCTGGGACCGATGGACTGAATAGCACTTTTAAACAAAGATGAGGGTAAGATGTCGAGGGGGCATGCAGAGGTCTTCATAGAGTTAACTAGTTTGGTTAACTCAGGCAAAGAAACAGGAGCAAAGCTATCTAGGATGATGGGCCTGGTTGGAGTCGGGAGAGGCAGCGATAAGGCTGAAGGAGAGATGCTAGATCTAACCTTATTGACTTTGTCCACAAAGAAAGACAGAAAGTTCTCACAGTCTTCAACAGAGTGGATGGAGGCTGTAGGAGAGGCAGGAGACACGATGCTGCTGATGGTGTTAAACAGCACCTTGGGGTTCCCTTTGCTCTGGGACACCAGGTTGGAAAAATAGGAAACTCTAGCATCTCTGACTTCAGAGTTAAAGGATGTCAGAAGATCCTTTAGGTGCAGCAGATGGACGTGGAGATGAGTTTTCTTCCACAAACGCTCAATTTTTCTGCATTGGCGCTTCAGGCTGCGAAGGCTGTCATTAAACCAGGGAGTAGGGTTCACTGCAGCTCCTCCACAAGCGAAAAAGTAGTTTTTAAAGATGCCAAGTTAAATTTTTTTGTTTGTTTTAGCTGTAAATGAAAGATAGCCAAAGCAACAAAATGCTTAATAAATGTTTCATTAGATTCCCTCAGGCTACTTAACAGTGTCAAGCATCAACAACTTTATTGGTTTGCCCCTGATCATCTATACTTAATGGATGTTAAAAAAGAAAAATAAACTCATGAAGCTGCAAAACAGAACAGAAATCAGTGTAAATGATTTCTGGACTCTGGGGTGAAGGATACTTCCATTCTACGATGCTGATGCAGGCCCGGCGGATGGGGTTCTTGAGTGTGAGACAGAGTAGGGCCCGCGGCGGCCTCGTGGCTGTCGTTGTGGTCTGTTTCTTGGGTTTAGTAGTATAGTGCTGTCTCTTTCTTTGCGTAGAACTGGCTGTGGAAATGGGCCCGCCCCCTCCCACTCCAAGTCCCGCCCCTCCACCTGACACAGCGTTACCCATCATCTTTGCCTGCCGCGCAGCATCAATGGCCGCCTGCCAGCTCAGGGCTGCTCCCGGCGTGGGAATGTGCTCCGGGGCGAGGCCAACCATGCCCACCCCATGGTTAACCCCTCCCCCTCCTCCACTGTGGTCACCATGGCTACTGCCTCCTCTGTGCTCATTCGACAGGCCAGCGGGAGGAGGGCGAGGAAGAGGGGGAGGAGGCGAGTAGTCGGAGCCTGGAGTAGAAAGAAGAAAAACCAAAAGTTAGCAAAGCGCTAATCCACATCAACACACCAAGCAGGATTTCAGAAGTTGCATTTAAACCTGTTACATGTCCCCTTCTTCAACTGGGTTTAAATCAGTGATTAAAGGTGGAAAGTATCAAACTTTACTTTGGTGGGGGCAAGCTTTGCAAAGATGAGGAAAAAAAATGAAACAGAAGAGCAACACGCACCAGAATAACAGTCATGCTTGAGAGAGAGATTACATCATTTCCCCATAAAAGTAAAATGAATGAAACTGAGTAAAAGTAAGCGAAAGCGGATTATCCATACAGTATGCTCAGTCAGATTAAACACAGAATATCCTCCCAGCCTCATGTCTCCATGACATCTGAGCCCGCATTCGGCAGCAGTTCATGCTCCACAATAGATGAAATCGTTAAAACATTATTTTTTTTACTAATAAAGCTGAATAAAGTTCAACATTTTTGCACGATAGCTAATCATATAAGAGCTCACAATGGAGTTTTCTCACAGAAATTGTTGGATTCTGATGCAGCTAACTCTATCCCTCATAATAAACGTTTTCAATCAATCCAAAACAACAGATTTCATTTTAAAGTTAAAAGTGTGGAACACTTGTTTAATCAATACATTTCCAGTGGTCTCTTGTAGGAATGAATGCCTTGTAAGTCGTACTCGAGGGGGCAAAACACACAGGTGCACTATTTCCAGGAACTGGAAGTTAGAAATCGCAGCTGAGCTTTATACGGCAGGTTTTGGAATCTTATTTCCTGATTTTTGGACATCTTGCCTCTGATTGGATAACAGCAATGTGACTCTACCACTGACACATCATGGGTCTTTTATCTCCACAAATAACACAAGTCTGGAGGAGTTCTACTGTGTGGTGAACTTGCTAATGCTAACGATTAGTTTCTATTAGCCAAAATGATCCCTGCTGTTTCCTGCACCCTAAACCAATAACAGCCTTCCCCTTCGTGAGACACAAGGGGTGAGTCCAAAAATGTGTGACGTAGATCTGTCAGACTTTTCACACCTTAGGGTGTCACCATCTATTTTCTATCAGAAGCTAATGCAGGAGATTGGTGTAGGAGACTACTTTCATGTTCAGCCTGCATGAAAAACTCAGAGTGACCAATAATAATCAGAAACAAGATTTTAAAAAGAGGTTTTCAATATTTTTCAAATCTTCTGCATTTGTCTGTATGTATTTTAAGAGTAACCACGCTTCTAATAAGTGGAGCGTAAAGCACAATAATGAAGACAGCAATTAAAATGTTAAAACACTAGATAAATGGTCACTTACACTATTATTACCTTTTATGGTGTAATTTGTCACCATATCAGGGTTTTGCATTAGAGTTGTTTTGTTCTGAACCAGTGTTCTCCTGGTCTCCAGCTCCACTCACACCTGTTTCTCATCTCCACTCAGTGAACACCGCTCCAAGTGGATACAGTTTCCTGTCACTGTCAGTTACTCAGGTTCTGTTTCTTTCTGCTTGCTGCTGTTTCATGTCTTGCATGTTGTTGCATCTTGAATCTGTTTTTGGGTCCTCACAACTCATCAGTTTATGATGAGACCTGTTAAAGAGGACATAATGCCCTCTTCTAATTATACCACAAACACAAACAAGCTAGCTGCTAACAGGTTATTCTGCCCTTGCTTGGAAATAAAGTACAATAATTGTAGTTGTGGGGAAAAAATAGATTCCTGTTGTCATTTCTTCATCTGAACTTTCAGCGTGATGTATGTTAAAAAATCAATGTTCAAATATAAAACAGATCTCTAGACATATATAATACCCAAATGCTACCATTAGTTGTTTTATTTGTTTGTTTGTTTTTCCATTTACTCATCTAGACCATCCGATTGGAATAATAATGAAAGGGAACAATGATCTGCTTATAGAAAATGGTAAATGGCTTGCATTTGATATAGCACCTATAGAATTTAACTTATAAGCTTACAACTTAAGCATTTCAAGCTATGATTTGTGTAATTAAACCTGAAGTGCTTGTTTCAGGAGGCCCAGTCCCAATTCTCACACTTCCATCCTTGCACCGTTCAGTTGCACGTTCCTGGCCATGGGTGCTTGCGCTTGGGGCGTCCCGATTTGTGCAGAAGTTGACCACACCCCTTTTGCTCTCTTTATCTGCCCATCACCTAAGTCTGCATTAATGCAGACTTCGGGCAAGGGTTTTACCCACAATCCATTGCTGTGTGGGAATTTGAACAGGGCAGCAGAGCAATGGCTCAAGTGCCTTTTCTGTAAATATTTTCAAATGAAAGAAGTTCATTTAAGACAGATAATGATATTTGTCTATGCTCTGAATGTTGTGGATTAAGATTTAATGTGGATGACAATCAGTGCAAATTAAGTCAAATAATTATTTTCAAAAAGTTAAAAAATACTTTTTTTTAAAGTAGCACAAACAGCAAACGGCATCTTGGCATATGTCGTAGTCGATGCTCCTTTTCCTAGTTTGTTACACAAGTGTACTGTGCACTCAAAGCCTAACCCCGGCTTTCCACAGGAGCCGTCAGCAGCACGTTACTGCAGCAGCACGTCATAGCTGCTGATAGGAACCGCTGTGGTCAACAGAACCTTTTCCACTGGAGCCGTCAGCAGCCGTCAGCAGCGCGAGTCGGCCACGTCTCAGGAGCAGCATGTCGCGGCCCTTACACGCTGGTTCTATTTTCCACGTGCGACGCCTCTGAAACGGGTCAAGTTCGACATTTTTGAGGAAGGAAAGACAGGAAATCAGACACGGAAATGGAGCGAAGCTTCCCGAGATTTTCAGAATAAAGAAACGTACTGCCTTCCGGTTGCTTTACTTTTAAAAGAAGTTACTAAATGTGCGGCCCCGTGAGAAGTTATCACCTAGCTAGCGGTCTCCTTTATTTTTCAGGTCCGTATTGGCGATTATAAAACGGACAGAACATAAAACACAAACCATGTTGTAGTTTTCTCCTGCTTGTTGTTGTGTTTACTGACGAAGTCACACGAGTGACTTCGTGCTCGGTCGGTGACAGCTGCTCCCCTGCTGGTCTCTGGTCGGAAGGGCCAAGCAGCAGCTTACGGGAGCAAGACGTGCTGCTGCAGTAACGTGCTGCTGGTGGCTGCTGTGGAAAGCAGGGGTAACCCCTCCTTTCTACCGGAGCCGTCAGCAGCACGTCTTGCTCCCGTAAGCTGCTGCTTGGCCCTTCCGACCAGAGACCAGCAGGGGAGCAGCTGTCACCGACCGAGCACGAAGTCACTCGTGTGACTTCGTCAGTAAACACAACAACAAGCAGGAGAAAACTACAACATGGCTGTTTTATAATCGCCAATATGGACCTGAAAAACTAAGGAGACCTCTAGCTAGGTGATAACTTCTCACGGGGCCGCACATTTAGTAACTTCTTTTAAAAGTAAAGCAACCGGAAGGCAGTACGTTCTTTATTCTGAAAATCTCGGGAAGCTTCGCTCCATTTCCGACCGACTCGCGCTGCTGACGGCTCCGGTGGAAAAGGTTCTGTTGACCACAGCGGTTCCTATCAGCAGCTATGACGTGCTGCTGCTGTAACGTGCTGCTGACGGCTTCGTCACAGTTCTGGTGGAAAGGAGGGGTTACAGTGCGCTTCCTCCAAGTGCACTTCACAGGAGGGTGTAGGGTGCAGTGCCAGTATTAAGATTGGGCTAAATTAGCTTCAGACAGCAGGATTTGGAGTCTTATTTCTTGACATTTGGACATCTTGCCTCTGATTAGATAATAGCAATGCAACTCTGCCAGTGACTGCTCAGCAACACTGATGTTTTATCTCCACAAATAACATAAGCCTGAAGGACTTCTGCCATGTGGTGTTGCTAATGCTAACAGTTAGCTTCTACTAGTCGAGATGTTCTCTGCTGTTTCCTGGACGCTAAACCAACAACAACTTTCCCCGTCATGAGCTAAAATGGGTGAGACCATGAGTGTTAAGTGACAGTCTGATGTAGATTAGGCTTTTAAAATCCCAGAGATTTACTGTCAGAAGCTCATGCAGCAGATTGGTGTAGGAGACTATTTTCATGTTCAACCTGCATGAAAAACTCAGAGCGACCGAAAACTGTTTTGTCAGTGAACCACACTTTTAAAGGAAGGGAAGAGTAATGTTCAATACAACAAAAAAAGTTCAGTACAAGAAGCCAATGTCCTCTTTAGGAAACAGGAGACCATTGGCGCTTGCCCATTAGCGTCAGCACAGTCGGGCTGGATGGCATGAGTTCGGTCTCGAACTGGCGGTGTAGTGTTCACATAAAGATCCGAAGGACTTCTCAGGAATGCGAAAATCCCCGAGCCTGTGGGCGACGTTTAATTCTCGCGGGAAAGTCCGCGATGTCCTCCATTATGAGGTAAACAAAGGCGGGAATGAGCTGTGTTGCTTCTGGAGACTGGCTCATTCTACTCGCAGATCGGAGGTGGTAGGCATAATTTCAGATGGCCAATCAGTCTGTGGTGTCGCCTCGGTCCCAGTCTGACTGCTGGTGAGAAGGTCAGAGAAAGAGTCACCTTGGCACCAATAAATCTGACCTGTGTGTGAAACCAAATTCAGGGAAGCCTGCAGCAGCTCCAAGGCCTCTATAAAACTGTTTAGGTGTGATTCGGTGTTTTTGGTGGCATCCTCTGGGTTCAAACTTCCCTGAAAACTCCCGCCACAACAAACGATGCACACAAGCCTCAGGAGGGGCTAGCAAATCATTTGCTGTTAAATCTTACAACTTGACAAGTGGCAGAACAACGAGCTAATCAACGTTTCTCACTTTACCTGCGAGTGGTTTTATTGTTGATGCAAATTGGCATGTACTGTGTAATAATCAGCTGTAACTGAGTTAAGTGTGTGGAAGCTGTTGCCAGAGAAAATTCAACATGCTTGTTGACCGCACGAGCAGAAAACACGATAAGACGGAACAATCAAAGGCAGGGAGCGAGAGATTTCATCACAGTTTTAGTCCATGTGCTAAAAAGAC